GAAGAATAAACAAAATTACCGAAAATAAACAAAATCAAACTCTAAATATAGCTATGGAGCAAAGGAAGTTCGCTAAATCGGGCTCCCCAATAATATGTAGCGGACCCAGATAGTGTCAAAATGACCAAAATGACAAACTACGTACAATTTACAAGAAAAATGGATGATACACATGTACGAAAAGTTATACGTTATAGCATAAATAGTATTGTCAACGTTACAGATAATCACTGGTTACTTGGAGGTTATCTCTCCGGTATTGTCCACCACAATTTTAGGATACTCCAGAGATCAGAAGGCGATATTTGTTGTCTCTCCTCTATGATCGTCGGTCGGCTTGACTGTCGTAATATTTAGAAGTAGGATGAGAAGTCCTGTAAATTCCCAAGACAATCAGTTATTATGCACGACGGGCAATAGTCACGGAGGCAGAAGTCAGAATAGTTAGAAGCGCATTATATTTCCACGATTAGCAGCAGCAAAAGATGCAATTACCGCCACAACCAAAAAAGTGTATGTGTAAACAACATTCGTTTTCACAATTATTAGGAAGAATTACAGAATATGTAAAAGAAACGATGAAAAGGAAATATTGCTTGTAGTTGAAGTGGTTTATACACAATTTTATGCAGTCTCCTTAAACCACAATTTTGCAAAAAATACCTCAAAGTAGACAATCACGACTTCTAAAGCCATAAACGGGTGAAATATAAGGACTTCTGCGACCATTGAAGAAGTGTAACCGAACAAATAGAACTAAGCCTCAAGACCTAGCTGTCAGAGCATCAAAACTACAAGTTTCCACTACTAGCACTATTGTTGTTTAGGAATTGTCCTAATGCGAACTTGACGCAGAAGCCAATCACTAATTATTTGAACTTTTATATAGCCATGAATAAGAGACCAAGAAAGAATACAACAGCGTAGTTGGATGGGATGGTATATTTGAGAGGTCGTGTCAAGATACCAATGCGTTTTAACTCACTGGCTTCAGAGTCCATTACTAGCAGTACAACGTAACACGACGGCATGCCGAATGGCCAAGATGCGATTTCAGTTAAACTATGAGGGTCAGCATCAACGTTGAATCTCGTCAAGCCCTAGGCTATTGATTTTGGAGAAGTGTGTGACGCTACATTTGTATGTTGGAACCGGTCGAATTGAACAGTTCTGAGTAATGCGTTTAGTGACCTTGAAGTCCTAATAGTAACAATCGTCTTAGATATATTTGAAAAGACTTCGGTAAAATTAGGATTCATGTTGTATGTTGTCACTTTACTTTATTTGATAAGTCACTGCTTCTTGTCCTTCTGGAAGGAAATTTTCGGATGTAAACAACTGTGTTGTAGAGTACAGTCGTTTCATGTCCGAAAAACGTGAATTCCGAACTAATTCCCTATTTGTTTTCTGGAAATGAGGTTGAAGTTCCTCCCGGAGCTTCCAAACCATAGAAGTACAGCAAATAGTCACATTTGATTCTCATGGGACCATAGAATTATTTATCGCCATCTGGTGATTTCTTTACTTTCCTCAATAATGAGGCTACAGTGAGATCCTCCCAAGAGGATATCAGTTTTCTTATGTGTATTTCGTTGCCTCCTTGGCAACTGAATCTGATGGTTCTTAATATTTCTACAATTATGGACGTAACCCGATTGGCAAATACCGGGTGCACATTAACTGAAATCTCAAGATTTCTGTGTAATCTCCGAGATTAATTATATTTCATTTAATTCCAGCTCCTAGAATGCCACAATAACGTAATTTTATAAAGTGTTACTCATTTCGTGTTCTTCGATTAAGCATCCGCAAACGCAGATGCTTGTCATGTACGCTGCTTTTTAGCACTTTATTTGCATTGTTTCGAAAACTTTCGGTGTACCGTAGACAATTCAACGGGTTCGGGTGCAATGCAGACACTTTGGGTCTTTTTAGCAAACTTAGAAAATTTTGTAGTTTCTGGGTAACAGTTTTTGGAATATTGACGCATTTCAGAGTCCCCCCCAAAGCGTTTATCAAATGTGTATAGTCAAGAGAATGTGAACGCTGCTCACCGTTGTTGGTGCGACTATAGAATACCCATTAGTCGTCGGCTTGAGGTCGCTGTTCTTTAACTTGACCCTCTGCTGCTCAGATTCTGTTCTTTGAGCTTTGCTGACAATTCTTCGATTGAAATAATTTGCTTTGCTTCTACTGAATGAACATATTCAGAGGAAATCAGTCTTATGTAAGAAAATATGCCTTAAAAACGAAGTTTCTTTTGATTAACATGGGGTAATTAACACTTCTATCCTCTATATTGATGACTTTTAGGGGATATCCGAAGTCAACTGTGTGCGATTTCTGCACAACCGGAAGGCTGCCAGCGCGAGCTTTGCTGAGAATGCATCGTGGAAACAAGTGATCGTGTTTTTGCCACCGAGACATTTGAATGATTCGCTCTCCAGAAGAAACTTAAAAATCACAACAAGAAGTCACTGGCCGTTGAAAGACTTCTGTGTTGTAGTCGCTGCTTTTCATCATCATACTGCACTCATCATCCCAACCAAGTTGTATTTGTTCAAGAGTATGCCTTTTAGGTTGACACTTGCTTCTACTGGTTTCTAATGACTGGTGCATGTTGTGCTTGGAGACTTGATATCCAGCATATGTAAGATTTCCTTCGATATCATAGTAATCAGTGGGACAGTTGATTAGCGTTTAAAGCGATTATGGGAAGCCCAACAACGCTTGAAAAACTTAAAATAAAGCCTTTCAAATGTATGGTGTAGAAAGAGCCTAAATTTCATTGTTACGTCAAAAAACCACTATAAGGAGGTAGGGGTCACTAAAAGCTATCTACCGTAGGAGAATGGCATGCAGCATGTATAAATGGGCTCCTTGGTTTTTTAGGATTGCTATCTTACTATCATAGCTGTATTAAAACTAAAAGCATCACAAATTCTCGTACTCATCTGACAGGAAAAAACACTTCATCCGCCTACTAGATTACTACGATGCTTGCGTATGTTCTGTGCCTCACTCAGTTTTTCGTGACATATTCGCTGCTGCCACCGGTTACATTTTGGGCACATTCTGATGATAAAGCGATCAGTGTTGTGCTCTTAAGTAGATCTGGATGATAAAGTGCATTTTATCAAGGAAACCCGTTGTTAGATGAAGTGTTTGTGGGTATCGTGTTGTCAATTTTCAGCAATTCAGGTGGCATGGACATGTGTTACGCATACCGAGTTACCTCCTACTTCAGTGTGCAATTTTAGCCTAAACAGGATTGGGTTGGAATAATGCTGAAGGTGGTTAGACCAAGTTGTGGCATCAGTCTATTCAGTCTTTATTGATGAAAAATAATGAATATTTCCATCGTGCACTAGTTGAAATAGTTATTTACGACACGCCAAACATATTTCTACATGTTTTCAAACCCCAGGTGGTTAAATCATGGTGTTTTAAACTTTCAGTTTTCTACTCACAGAAGAAGCACTGCAGATAAGGAATACATAAAACAGTTTTTCTTGCAAGTCATTCTAAAGGAGGTATGCTAGTATGAGGTGTACTGTTATCGCATGTTAAGATAACGAAAAAGCTTGTGTTGATCCGGTTGTTTATTATAAGAGAGGCTGGATAGCTTTTCAACTATTATATTTCTCACTCTGTGAACACTTTCTGATATGTCTGCATCAAGCTCAAAACATATACTCACTGCCTGGTCTTGTGTTCCAAACGAGGTCTTACATATTTTGAATATAAAATCTGGAACATATCCTAGGATAAGCTCCGGAACTTTGACGAGTTGGGAAGGCGGTGGAAGATTACCTCTTGTGGTATCATAGTGCTTGATTATGCATTGTTTCATCTGTCTGAGTTGTACTGTAATTCCTTTTTGTGGTTTGGAGTGCACGAATTAAAGCCAGCAGACAAATCTGATTGGGTGTTGCAAAGCCTAATGCTTCGTTATTACACCCGTGCTCTGGCTCTGTCTAAAAGATATGGTTTGCAGTGTGAAGCAGTTTCGTATGGTAGACGTATGTTATGAACTATTATCACGCTTGCTATTCAGTCCGAATCCATGGTTACCATAGATGTGAATAGTCTGCCAATTCTTCTTAGACAATCACTTATTGTTATTCTTGGGAATCGGATTTTATTGTTTGATTCGCTTTATTCGTCTTCCTAACGGATGAAATCATCTTGCATACTGTTTGACCAACATGATCAGTTGTGTATTTTCTTAAATGCGATGTATTCCATACTTTAAGACAGGGTGAATCCGAAGTAATCGGTTATCTGTTATACAAGATAATGTACTTTCGTTGTTTATCTAGACAATGATAACTCTTAAAAGTAACTGTAGTTGGGTTAAGTCTCTGGTATGCTTAAGTTGAATGTACTAATTAAGAGAAAGGCATTATGCATGTTTACCACCCAGTTTTAGTTTTCTCTTCTGCTTTTTTTCACATATTTCATGTGATACAATACTTGCCTTTCTGCCTCCTAACCATTGATGTTTGCTTCATATATTACAATTTTAACTGTTATTAATTCTGCTAACTTTTAAGTAGGTAAAACCAGGCAACAAGTATCGTGCTGTTCCTCAGCAAATGTCATCCTAGTACATTTTAACAGTTTTGGACTCCTATAACACATTTCGTCACAGCGTCAAATCGAAAGACAGGTGTATTAAGAGAATTACTCAGTTGGGAACGGAAAGGGAAGAGTTAATGATTTATTATCGGGGCCAAAAGGTAAATGTGGTGCACAGCACCTGAGTGTACATAGAGCAATGTCTCTGGTGTGTTATTTCTTGAATGATTTACTGCCTTACTAATTTTGTAAGCGCCTAGAAAAAATATTACTTTCAAAGTGGTTGAAGTGCCTGCTTCAACAAGCTCATATTTTGTAAACTCCATCTTACAGAATTTGTCCATAGCTCATAAAGCCGTTTCACTTTTGGTCTTTATTTCAGATACATCGTGAACAGCTGTTAACTCATTAGATCAATAATGTCGGACTTAGCTATATGTCGCTTTGCATACGACGGTGTTGTCACAGCAGTAGTCAAAATGTTAGAATCAAATGACAACAAAACTCATGTTGATCAGGTTCTGCTTTGGAGTTTTTTTTATATTGAACTTTGCGTATAGGCTGGAAGAAATCCACTTCACTGGGCGGCATGTGGTGGTCATCTGGAATTGGTAAAAGTCCTTTTAGCCAAGGGATTTGACAAAGATAGTAAGGACCAGGTAAGGCATATACTTCAGGTTTACTATATGTTGCATGCTATTGACTAAATACATTTAAAGCAACCATTTTAATTGAGTATTGGCCAGTTTGTTCCCATTATTTGTCACACTGTCAAGTAGTAACTTCTGAAAAATTTTCTTATGATGACTTTAACGTGACTGCTCTTCACTTAGAAGTGATTTGTTGGCTTCTGAGGCTGCATTCATAAGCAGACTGATCTAGTCACATGAAAATAATTATTAACTATCGATATAAATATCTTGCAGAATAAGAAATAATCTCGACATAGGACATGGTATATACTGTGTAACAGTCCAGTTTTCCCCCTTATGTGTAAGGAAAAGTCATTTGTACAAACTGAACATGACCTGTTTTAAAATCTGACAGTGAAAAAGTGTTGGCCGATTGTTAAAATGAATTTAAAATTCAAAATATGCACATCATTCATTCAGCGAGAGTTGCAAAACTATTCTCGCGGTTTATTAGTAACATGTATGTGTGCGGTGTAAAGCCATTTTAGTCCGTGTATGGACTAGTATTTGTAAGATTCAGTTTCAGATTTTATATGGTATGACCTCACCTTAAACATTTCCTACCAGCCTCATTTATGTGCTGCTGATTGGAGTATGAGATAGAGACAAAAGAAATTTCAGTATGAATAAGCTGATATGAGAAGTACAACTGACTCTAGACCTGGTTTTTGGTTTACCGAGTATATTCTTGTTTGAAAACTTCGTTAGACACATTTGTCGTCAATCCTGAAAGCGTATTCAGTAGTTATTTGATCGTTTTCTGGTTTAGTTTAGGATTTCGACATGATTTCATTTTCAGTAGAAACATTTAAGTATCAAGGAGTATGTGCATCATTAGCTAAGGTACTCGTCTATCAAACAATTTCTTAGATTCATACTTCACTGCACTCACTTGGACTTGGGTAACCATGTAATAACGTAACCCTCATCGTTTAAGTACGGTTCATAGGCTAGTGCACAAACTTACACCTAGATGAGTTATACTGTTGTACCTTCGTGCCAAGTTCACGTTGTTTCAAATGAACAGAGGTCTTTGTTAAATTAACACATAAACAGTTCTAACTTAAGGTTACGTGCTCTGTTATACTGGCATTTACTATAATCGGTTCATCACATTAGTGGCTAAGTTTTGATATGTATTTGTATATGCCAGTAGTGGCATCAACTCGCTTACAATGATACGTGTAAATTGATTTATTTTACAGTTATCAAACATAAGTGACCCATACTGTTACCTTTATGGCTCGAGTGTGTAAATTATGAATGTTGTTGAAAAGCTTACATTCTTCCCTACTATTATGTTTTAGTCAAACTGGACTCCACTTATGATTGCTGTTTCCGCTGGACGAGAAAATGTGGCTTCTTACTTAATATCTCAGGAACATGCTGACGTAAATGCAATAAATTCAACAGGCCAGTGTTGTCTACATTACTGTGCTTCGAAAAATCGTCTTGAAGTGAGTTAAAGGTAGAAAATACTGTTTTTTTTTCTAGAAAGACAGTGTTGTGTATATGCAATTGAACTTGTTAGATATTCCTAACCTATCAGATTCCACGGTACTCATAATGCTAAGAAACTAGAAAACAGACAGACAGGATCAACATACGACTAGGAATTACTGCGCAACTATCCAAGTTGCCACATCTCATATCAGCTCATCAAGAGAGAAAGCACTAAGATGAAAAATGAAGAAATAGAGGAGAAAACAGTCAAAGTGGTAGAAAGTCTTGAAAATAGAGAAAGGAGGAACAAGAAAATGCTGAATTCAGTATGACGCTTAAGACAGAGATAATGTGAGGATGCATTTCCTCCACAGACTAATCGTGAGTCATGTCACTTTGAGTCTTCAACCACTGGTTTCTGTTGTCATGTGGACCTCAACCGAGTTTTCATTTCGCTACATGGCTGAGACCAACAGTCACAGACTCTCTGGACCAATGCTATATTTTAGTCTGACTGCTTCTTACCTTTTTCCAGCCTTAACCTACTTCAGCTAACGATACTCAGGTTAAGCTACAAAGGCAACTGTGGTCAAATATTTGTAGCCTTTTCATGTCCCTTACCTTTAATGGCCATGTCTCATACCCATAGAGTAGAAGTGTGTGGACTGCAGCGCAGTGCACTCAACCCTTAATAGACAGTCGGATATCATGACGTCGCCGTAACTGACATAAGTTGGCGAAATTTGAGATGGCCTTTTGTATCAGTGCAGAGATTTCGTCGGTCACTGACGCACCTGGGCTGACCTGACTTCTCAAGTCAGTGAAAGTAATCGATGTCCCCAACCACTTAATCCCTTACTGTTAAACAAGGTACTACTGAGAACCAGCCCTAAAGCGATAACTTGTATTTAGCTAGTGAGAAATGCATCCCAAGCATTCTTAAATTACCACTCAAGGTGTCCAAAAGATTGAATCCTGCTGGCGTCTTCACCTAACCGGACTATATCATCTACTTACTATATGTACACCAAGGGCTCCTGTGATAATATCAATTTCTGTGAAGTCAAACGACAAGAGAGATCCCTGTATAATTATGTCTATGATAAAGTCGAGTAAGGACGGAGAGAGTGGGCATCGTTGATGGACACCAGTTGACACACATAGCTCATCATAGGCTCTAACACGCCCACAGGTGTTCGAGTAAAGAACCTTCAACAAAGTGGTGTATTTACCACACACCCCTTTCAGTAAGAGATACTCTCATAAGACCTCTGGTTCAATCGAGTCAAATGCCATCTTCAGGTCGAGAAATGCAGCTATTGTTGGGCGTCGGTAGGTGTATCTGTGTTCCAGAACCTGGCGGAAGGTAAATATTTGGCCGATACAACGACGGCTACATCTGAAGCCTGCCTGATTTTCTGGAGGTTCCTGTTGCGGAGCTCTAGTTAAGTGTCGGATAATAATAGAATCTTAGACACCACATTGATCAGACTGATTACCCTATAGTCATCACAGTAGAATTTCTCCGCTTTCTTGCAGAATTGGACTATCAGTGGTTAAGACCAGTCATATGGGATCATATATGATTCCCTTTCGCTAGTTAACACTTCATTTAGCCTGACCAGTAATGTACAACTACCGTCTTTGAATACCTATGGTGCTACCTCATCTAATTCTGATGGCCTTCATCTTTCCAGGTTGCTTACAGCTTTCTCGACTTCTCTAAGCCCCGGTTACCCTATCTCGATCTTCCTGAACGGAACATCAAGATACGGCAGCCGTGCTTATCAAAGCTCTATAATCGAACTCACGCGACCTTGTTAAGGGATTACGAACGTTTGTTAAGTTAGTTGACGACAACTAGTAGTGTTCGCCAGGGACGTCCACTGTCATCGTTCCTATTTAACTTCTTCACAGATGTACTCATGGGTATAAGCTTAGATACGTCTGACTTCACGAGGATTGATCTACTCCCTGGAGGTTATCTGGTTAACTTGGAGTATGCAAATGATATAGTCCGGTTAGATGAAAACGTTGACGCAATGCAGAGTCTTCTGATCACGTTGATCGGAAATCTGACTATGTTTTGCTGGCACGTCTTTCGCACCTGTCCAATGTAAGATAACACTCTACGACTGGTCTGCTGCAAGTACTCTCAGTTTAATAATAGGGAGTGAATTGATGAGATGTGTTGACTTCACTCACTTATGGAGTCGTGTCGGACCGAACGGAGTGATTACTGATAAAATCTCAGGTTGGATACAGAAGACCTGTCTGACATTCACCATCCCGCGTTATCTGTGGCACCGACTGGTGAGACATCTATCTACCAAAAGTTAGTATACTTCACTATAGTTCCTTCTGTCCTGTTGTACGGCTGAGACATGACCGTTGAAAGTAGAAGATACGAAGCAGCCTCAGATTTTCGATCACAGGTGTCTTCGTAGCATTCCTCATGTTTGGTGGAATCAGGAGCTGCAGAGCTGAAAAATAACGTGGGAGTAATGACTGAGAAATGTGAGGAAAGGTTGGAAGTTAAGGATATAGAAGATTGATGATGATCTTAAGGTTGAGTGCTGATTGGGTTGTGAGGATGGTTGAAGCTTCCCGGCTGCTGACACTGCGGAAGGCTCGTTCTTTTGAGGTACGTGGAAGAAAAACTGGATTTGAAATGATGTTGCGTGACCAAAAAGCTCAAGGAACGTCTGCTTGAGTCCAGTCACTCACGGGATTTTCGCTAGTTTTTTCAAATCCATTTATAAGCCCATACCAGTGATATTGGTACACTACAAGGTAGTGGGGAATGTACTACTTTTGGGACCGATATTTTCTATTCCCCGCTTTTCATAAGGAAGGAAACATCGGCATCGCACTGCTGGTCATCCAAAGGAAATACTTTACTGCTATCGCACCCGATCCAGCCAAGAATCCAAATTTACCCTCCGACTTCATCATAGCGTAGCAATTTACTGCTTTTTGTCTTGCCACCGTCCAACAGACTTTTCTAGTATGGTAGAACTTTAAGAGAACAAGTGTTTCCATCAACATAGCTCTTCGAGTCATTGTGATATGCAAGCCTGACCACCAAGTGAAGGAGCTTATGGCCACGATATATATATATATATATATATATATATATATATATATATATATATATATATATATATATATATATACATGCATTCTATCTTAGCATACATGCTTGATGTTTAATTCTGTAAGAGGTAACGTATGAATGAGGTCAACAATGTATCTTCGCGTGCATAATTTTTTTAGTTGGCAAGACAGTTATTACTTGCCGGTGCAAAACCAAATGTACATGATTGGGGCGGAATTACACCATTACATCGTGCAATTGCTACAGATAATTTGGATGTAGCAAAAATTCTCTTGGACCATACAGCTATCGAAAAAGTCTTGACGATAATAATCCTGGCAAAATGTTTTCAGTCCTGGTTAACTTAACTGACAAACAAAAGCAGACACCTCTGTAAGTTTTATATGAAATGAATAGTTTTAAGTTTCCAGTTTGGTTAACGCTTAGTTACAATATACTAACGCGTGGTTTTTGGTGTACGTTTCGTGTTGCTGCTTCAGTAATTTTAGCTTAAATCGACAACCAAGATGACCAAACCAAGACGCTGCACTAGTCCATGAAGTCTCTGAGTGTTGGTCTGAGGCGTGTGGAGAGATGTAGACTATCTGATTGGGGTCCGTTAGACGATAAGAATCAATGGTTGAGGACTGTTAGTGAAATTGCTGAAAATCGGTCATAAGGGCACAGATATATTCACTTCTAGAGTTTGAATGTTTTGAGGAACCTTAATTTTTAGATTTCCTCTCCCCATGCACCTTTATCTACTTTGGTTTCATTCTTTTTCTGTCCACTTATTTTTTGTATGATACTATGAAGCGTGTGTCAACGTTAACCGTTGCATGTGTTCGAGGTCTTACTTCGATTTTACCAGCGTCATGTGAGCAATGTTGAAGTCAGGCGAAGGGTATTAAGCAATACAAGCAAGTCGATTGGTGAGGTTGTGAATCTTCATCAACTGAGATGGTTTGGGCATTTACTGCGCATTCCGATCCACCCCTACCTTGACGTACCATGCTAAGGAAAGCCAGATTAGGTTGGAAGAGGGTTCAGGGTGTAAGATGTAAGATGTAGAATGCGTGACTGGGGTCTTCGAGTTGATAGGAATCAGTGGTTGACGATTCTTGGTGAAATGGCTGATAGTCAGTCACAGTAGCACAAATGTAATTACTCTTTGACGTCTTTTAAAGCTTAAATATTTGCACTAACCGATATCTCTGAATTATTTATTTCCTCATACAACTTTGTGTAGTTGGATATCACTCTTCTTCTATCCACCTGTTTTTTGTGTACGACTGTGAAGTGTGGTGACTTGAACCAGTACACTTGTATGCGAGGTTTTACATTGGATTTGTCTGTCTAACTTTACATTTTACTTGACAGTCAAGCGGTGAAGACCAATGAATTGGTTACAAATTTTTCGATCAGAAGGTCAACCTTTTGAATTTCACTCAGCAAATCAGACAAAGTGTTGTGAGACAAATGTGGGATTAAAACTCTCTTTATCCTAAAATGCCGAATATCAGATAGGAAAACAGAATCACCAAAAGGGAGCATTTAACAAGCTTACCCGAGACAGAAAGATATCAACGTATACAAAAGAGTACGATTCAAATAGAAGAGTAGTTGCAAGATTTTGAGATCAAACAGTAAATACATTCGCCTCGCTTTGATGATTTCCCAAGTCATTTCCTCTGGACTACTTAATCCGTTTTTCCTGATTTCCCAGTAATTACAACCGTCACTGTCTCATAAAGTCTCGTTATTGTGTGGGAAGTTTTATGTTTAACAATACAATACTCAAAGGTTGTTCTTAATCTTCTTCTGTACGACCTGTTTTCGTCTCACTGGGAGACTTTTTGAGCCAGGGTGTATGGAGTCCAATGGTAAACCGTTGTTCAAAAATATCGTTGCTTCTGTGATTATTTGTGGTGATGAATTTAATTTTCAGTAGTATAGTTTTATGTTTGTTTATATATTTGCATGCATAGACAACAAAAATCACTGCAGTGGGATATAATTCAAATATTATTTTTTTCTTTTAATGTTATCTAGACATTATGCATGTGAAGAAGGCAGTATGCAGGCTGTAAACTTACTGATGAATTATGGTGCTTCTATCACTGATCAAAATAAAGTGAGTTTCTGTGTATCACAGTATTTGTGTACCGTTATGTGGCATTGTGTATCATGAACAGGGAGTTGACCTTTTACTAGAGAATCTTTACATCTAGTCAGTTTATGAAGACCGGATTGTCTTGAAGGGGAAATAAGTTGTCAGAAGTGTAGCTCCATCTGCATACGTACCTTCAGTGAAGTTATACATTCATCAACCCTTTTATTATTATGTTCTAGTGTTGAATAGCAATTACAAAGGATAATTTTAGCTGTCACGATACTTGATCTACACGCGTCAGGTCACACTTTCAAATAGCTTTCTACTTCTTAGATTTTGAAACAAGATAGTATGTAGTGTTTGCAACTAGGCAATCTTAGACAGATTCATGCACTAGTTATTGAGACAAATCTATTATAGAAGGGCTGGTGTTACTATCTACCCGTTAATTGTTAGTAATTTTTATGTACCCACCCCAATGTTTCATAATAACCGTTGCGATGTATAGAGATCCTTGTTGAAGCCGGTAAATGTACTACCATCCAGTAAAAAAAATTCATTTGAATTTGCATATTAGGCTTATAGATTAGTACTGGAAACTGTATCATGTGTTCTTTTCAACTACACAACATTTCAGTGTAGTACACCGCAATATGAAGTCACATAGCCTTGTAGGTACTGTCATTTTCTTCCTAGCTGTAAGCTATACCTTTCGCTGTATTTATTGTCTGATAACTGTGTATTGTGATATCAATGTTAACGTAATCTCACATGTTATGCATTATCTCGTATTATAAATCAACCATTGATAAAACATTTTTATCTAACTGTGCATATACTCTCGAATGTTAAAACAAACAATTTATCTTTCAATTTTTTCAGGATGGCAAAACACCATTAGACGTATCACCGGATCACTTACGCATGAATATTTTGAAACAATTCAAATCGAACTAATCATTCAGATATCTTTTTCATTCATTTCACAATAAAATCTATTTTTCGTGTAATGAACGTAAAATTCATCTTCATGAATACTTGCTACATTGATCGTATGTAAATGGACAAAATTTCACGGCCAACATACAAATGACAGTTCTGACATAACATTGTCATCACTGCAATGACCAGTGGCTGCATACTTTTTCTAAGTGACTTTACGAATATTGAGTGGATAACTGCCACTTCCCACAATTGTTGATGGGTTGCGTTTCATTTTCCTTAATCTATGACACTCGTTTGTAATTTCTTAAGGTGTTATATTCAGACTTGGCTCAATCCTACGTGAAACACAAGCCCTTATACCTGCATACTTGGAAGATTGAAGCATACAAACAGAAAAATAGGACATTTAAATTAATCTTCCATCAAATTGTTTGCATTTTTTGCTAAACATGCTTAATTCGGTCACCAACAAGTTTTGTGCCATTCATGTATGATATTAAAAAAATATGATAACTCACTGAATGCTTTGACGGCAATTAGTAGACATCATCCATTCCTTAGTGCTGTAAAATTTTGACACCACTCACATTCTGCTGTACGCGAATTTCTCAAAAGTCTACGTCCTTTTCATTTACCTCACCGACCATCTGATAACAAAACATTGTAAAACATCATCTCTACTCAAGACAACCAAGTGAAACAGAAAGGATAGGGGTAGAGCATTCCGGGAAATTGTTACCCAATAAGAAAAATAATCTTGAAGGAAAGGAAGAGTGAAACCGAACGAGGCATTACGCAACAGGCATGGAGATGAATCAGTCAACCTTAAAGTAGAATAAAGAGTGAAGTGATAAAATGGTAGTAAACGTAGAATAACAGTAGATTATGGTAAAGCTGGTGAGTGCACTTAATGCTTTTAATGACAAAGACCAGGTCGAAGAATGAATCACCATGGATTCGGTTATGCATCTATGACGAAGTCGTTTGGGATTGTAGACACGCACTCTTTAAATTGCTTTGAAGAGAGTACGTGGAAGTGATGAGATCTTCAAGAACAGGAGTGTTGACATTTCCCCCGTCTTTTGCATAAAAAGGCAAAAGAATGTTCTGAAAACGGCTAGTGGTTTTGACATTGTATACGATCAATGTATTTTACTTCATAGGAACGAGTGAACTGATAAATGCGGATTGAGGTGACCGAAGAGCGGTATTAGATTAATTGTTTGCTGGAGAATATGATTTTTCATCTACCTGCATGAAATATCTTCGTCGCAGATCTTAAGAGGCGGTTTCAGCTGAAGTGCAGTCTAGTAGGATGTTATTTAAAAATTTTGGCCTACTGTCAGATGCATTTTCAGGAAACGTCTCCCAAATACTTGAACGTAACGAGGTTCTGTTTGCTAATGAGAGAGACATGGCGTTGGAAATTGATAAATTGTCTCATCCAAAATAGGTGAACAGTTATAAACGAGAAGAACTAATGTTCTCAGATTATGCGGATTACCTTAAACCCACCACACCACGCTGTAGCAAAGTAGCTTGTTGAGTTGCTAGAACCTTTAAGAAAGATATCATGCAAAATACAGTCTGAATGTTTTTGAATTTATTGGTATCACTGAATCCAGAAGCATACAGTCATGTAGCTTGATGTTACCTTACTGTCCGCGAATGTTCCACTAGTGGGAACGGTTGATCATACTTCGGAAACTATTACTGTGAAAACTGAACACTGGTCTGCCTGCATGCGACTTGGAAGAATTGTTTCTACAATGCATACTTAATGTTCAGCTTCTTTTTAGCAATCGTATATTCTGACAAATAGGATAGCAATAAGTTCCTCTTCTGGACCACTACTTGCTGACGCTTTCATTTTAAAGTTGGAAAATGATATTTCGAAGGTCTAAATAGATTCAGTGGATGCTTATTGCAGATGTATGGACAATAACCTCTATAATTTGTGATACGAAAACGAAGGTACCTATACGAGTATCCGACGTTGTATCGGAAGGCGGCGAACATACAAAGTGAAAACACTACATGTATATTCCTTAAAAAATGTATATCTATCACTTGCTACTGCAGTTGACAAAATAAAAAAGTTGCAGAGTGAATGAACGGAGACTTATTAACAGATTGGCCCCAAAAGTTTGATTAATTACTGGGCACGAGAGTTAACGGGTATAAGGATTATCACTTGCAATGAGGTTAAAAATCATAAACGACAATGAGTCACTATGGGATATTAAGTCAAATGAAAACTAGAAACGTTAAAATTATAAAGTGATTGATATTGAATATAAGGAAGTTAGTTGAGTCATTATGTATCTGCATTGTGTGAACTCCATCTTTGCGGATGTGAATGGACGTATGAGACGTCCTCCCTCACATCCCACGGTAAAACTTCTGCTGCTGACCTCCAATCTCAGTGACAGCAAAATACATCTTCAATAAACCTTGAAATCTACTTCCCATAACTACGGTTAGAATATAACTCGTAAACTGAAGTTCGATATCTTTTCTTCATGCCATCGGTAGAGATTACTAGATTTTCCGTTCTTGTTACCAAGTTTTTATGAATGAAATCCGGGAAGTATCCATTCAGTCTGAATGTGTACATCAAACCTTATAACTTTATTTATCGTATCACTATAGCGAATTCTTCTTGTGCTTTTAGACACCTCTAACCAAGTCCTCTTTTTGCCATTGTGAAACAAAACTATCCGTACTTTGCATTACAGTTTGTAGTAAACATTTCTGGTGACCTGTCTTCAAAAGCACTAAGTGCACTCACCAGCGTTACCATAACCAGAGTATTAATCTCCTTGTTAATAAACGTTTACTACCATTTTATCACTTCACTCTTTATTCTATTTTAAGGTTGACTGATTCATCTCCATACCTGTTGCGTAATGCCTCGTTCGGTTTCACTCTTCCTTTCCTTCAAGATTATTTTCCTTATTGGGTAACAATTTTCCGGTGCCGCTATGAAGAGTCTTTTAGGGCAATTGTTAGCTGTTGTCCACATGTCGTACGTAGAACTATTGGCTGAGGATATTATCGACAAAGTCCCTCTGTACAGGAGATACCTTAGTTATATATAACAAACGCAAGGATACGAAAAGTCTTCTAGATCGACTCAACAATAAACAAAGCCATACTAGTTTATTATGCGAAGCAGAAAATAATAATCAGCTACCTTTTCTTGACGTGTTATTAACTAGAAGGGAAGATGCATGGATAAAAAGACCAGTGTATAAAAAACCTACGCGGACCGAGCAGTACCTTGGCTTTCATAGTTTCTGTCAAATACAGTGCAAACGAGGTTAAGTAAACTGCTTATTCAAAAGAACCCAACATATCTGCACAATAGATACATTAGAATTCAAATTTTTAACACAGACACTCAGAAAACCTATATCATCTGAAGTTCATCAACCGTTATAAAAACGTTCCAACGGTGCGAACTAACTTGTGTTTTGTCCCGAAGAATGTTTACATCACTCTGCCCTATAAGGGGGAATCAAACAGTACGATTTTCAGACCAAGGTTTAATTCAGTTATTAAAAAGACATACTACACAGCCATGCTCAATATTATCCAGAAAACGAAATCTATGCTTCAAAGTAAACTTCATCACTACGTAGATGACTACGTCACATCCCCGTGTATACCAATGCACGTGTGTGAGCGGTGGTACATACATTGACAGCAGTAATTAAACTAAGAAGTTGAGGATGCTGGAGCATGTCCCTAAATGGCTAGAAAGTCTACTACATTCAAATAACCTGACAGACGTCACTCTTCCTAGGTAACATTATAAAAACAAGTCAGGATTGAGCCCAAAACAGCCTTTAGGCCATTTTATAGGAGCCGTCAAGACTGTATACTTGGTCCCATTGAAGCTTTAGCTATAGGAAAGTTCAAACCCATTCAGTGTATTCAAAAGGAATTTGTTCTTACCTCACGTCTATCTTGGTTATCTTTATCATGTTTTGTTATCTCTATTTTGCTATTTGTTCTAATATACTACACCGGGATTACGCTAGCGGGGATACAGATTATACGATGAACCATACTAACTGGGTGCCCGAGTTTTTCAGACCCCCCAGTCCACTGTTGGTAAGGATATGTTCCATCTTCATCTCATTTTAATGCCGAAAGCATGATAATCTTAGGTAGCTGAAAAGCATCGGGACCCTGTTATCAACAACAGAAATTCCCAACCAACTGCCCTGCTACTTATCCAGTTTCACTATCCCCATGAAAGAGAACAGTTGAGACATGAAGCAGGTGGTATTTCTGCTAATTTGATAAGCAAAAAGCTTCTCCTATGTATATTGTTGCAACAGCTTCATCATCGTCCTTCAACTGTGTTCTTTATATACGTGCGAATTGATTACATACAAGTGGGTCAATATTAATTGTCTTAATATCTAGGATGACATGTAACACGGACTTCTCAGACTACTTTTGTTAGCAGCTGCTGGTTTATTTACATTCACAACGATGTCAAGAATCTAGTGCAGAAACAGAGAGTGCGGCCCAAATATAAATCTTCAACTTCCTATCTACAGAAACAATACTTACATCACTTCAGTGTTACAAGCTATAATTCTCTTGGTGACTTTTATCCAACATCGTTTTTCCTATAATAATGGAAGGAGAACAAATTTCAAGGCGCAGAAAATCAACACATGCACCAACATGTGTCTTTTGTAGATAAATTTTTATTAACACTAGTACGTTTACATAGAAGTGGAGTACTTTGAATACTCCATGTTAACTACATTTCGGTAGTGTTTTGTCAGCGAGCAACAAACAGAACTTCTTTACTTCAATTTAATCTGTTTTCTCTGGAAAGGAAATGTTTAAGAATATATCTGACAATACTGATTGGCTTTCCGTCTTTCCAGTTTGTAATTTTCATTAGGCCTCCAACTCGTTTAGAAGCATCAAACTTATACTCATTTTTTAGACAATCTCTAACAACTTTTGCACAGATTGCAGAGAATCGAATATAACTGTAAATAGATCAAGAAAGAAAGGATGATCCTAACCTAATTCCGGCTGACCTCCAAAGCGACATTTTGTATGTTTGCCGCCAACTGCAGTACAATTCCAAATGGTTGTTGACGGAAAAGAAGCTTTTTGTTAACTAGTTTCATGGTTTAGAATCCGTAGTCCACTACTTCTTGTGGGTTTTTGCACTTATACAGTACTAGAGAGTTAAAAGGGGGTAGTTAGAATGTGAAAATTCAATTAGTTCTGGACAGATCCTAGCCATTTCTCAAATAAGTACCCAGCTGGTGTTTAAAGGATTCAGACGAAGCAGTATCCAATATCTTTTTAACGAGCTTTTGTAGACCAGTTGACTTCTTCTTTCTGGCTTCTTGGTCTTGCGGAACGGTTCCACGTCTTTGGCGGATTCCGATGCAGTAGATCCAGCCACTCGTCTGCTATAGCTCTGATTTACAGAACAGGAAGTTAAGTCTTGGTTTGTTTGCCTTGGACTGTAGTGCGGTTGGCTCCTTCAGATGTCCATTTGCCAGACGGTTGTTCGGACTGGTCGCCAGAGAGGGTTGGGGATAGCGAAGAGAAAACCTAGAAAGCTGTTTGTGTGTGTAAAGAGGGAAAAGAAAACTGAACTAGTGGGGCTATCTACTTGCACCCAAGTAAGGCGAGGAGGGGTGCAAAGGTATGAAGAACTTAGGTAAGTGAGGCTCACTCATGGCAAGTGGAAGGGATGAAAAGGGCTTAAATGGTTACAATAGAACGAAGACTGGTTGTAAAATTAAAATAGTTGGGGTGGCTTGACATCAGTTCGTGTTCCAGCTATATGTGGGTAGACCATGGGTCTCTGAGTGACTGTCTGGCTTCTTCTTGAAGCTTCCAATAGTTGGGGCGGAGACCACCCCTGCTGGTAGTGAGTGCCAGTACCCACAGACTCGGAGGGAGAATAACTGTGAACGTATATGAGTTTTTGACCTTTGGTGGGCTATTGTCTCAAGGTTTCCTCGATAGCCCCTACAGTGGCCACTCAGCAGTATTCCCCTGTCCGGGTGACTTGGGCTATTCAGCATTTCGTGAGCCACTATCAAGTCACATCGTAACCTTCGGCAGCTAAGAGAGTGTAGGCCTAGGTCTTTCACTCTATCCCCACATGCTTTTCATCGCATCCCAACAGCCCCTTTTGTGGCTCACCTCTGGACTTTCTCCGGTAGGTTAGTACCACTCTTCAGCCGAGGTGGAGTGAAGACGTTATGGACCTCTAAGCGGGGTCGTATATTAGTCTTGAAGAGCTTCGGAAAGAGTTCTGGGGTGAGGGCACCCAGTTGTCCACGTACAAATTGTAGTACACCATATGCTTTTGAGGCATCACCTGGGTAATTGGAACCGGTGTCCAGTTTCTGAGTCAACGTTAAACCCAGGTCTTTTTCTATAGTGGTATGGGATAGACGTGAACCACAGAGATAGCAGGATGCTGTGTGGGGACAAGGAGGGCGGAAAAACATGAACCAGCACTTATCCGGGTTAAATGCCAGCTCGCTATTAGTTCCTCATTCCTCTAGTGTTTTGGGGTCGTTCTGTAATGCTCTCGATTCCGCCTGGCAAGTTATTACCCTCCATGACTTGATGTCATCGGGGTACAGGAGGATCGGAGAGATTATATGTTGCGGCAGGTCATTCACGAACAATAGGAATAACAGTGGACCTAGGATTGCTCCTAGTGGGACACCGGATGAAGATGTTCTCCAGGTTGAGTAGACCCTGTTGACTTTCGTGCAGAACTCCTTATTGCCTAAGTATTTCTGCAGCCACGGTAGCACCTGGCTGCATATATCTAACCCAGCTATCGTATATTACGACCGTGTGTGAGACAATGTCAGAGGCTTTGGCGAAGTCCAGAAAAATTGCGTGGACCGGGACCTTGAGATCCCAGCATGCTGTCCAGTGGTCACGGGCCGTCAGAAGGTTGAAGGCACAGGACCTACCCCTTGCGAAGCCATGGTGAGTGTCATTAAGTGCCTTTTTCTTATCCAGGTGTTCCCTGATACGGTCGTCCATAACGCCTTCTATAACTTTTGACATTACCGGTAGGAGTGCCACGGGTCCATAACAGCTGGGATTCTGCCTGTCTCCTCCTTCGAAGATGGGAGGAAGGAGAGTCCGTTTACACTTTCGTGAAAGCTTTTGTTGGTCCAAAGAGTGTTGGAAGAGATTGCAGAGTGGGCCACTTAAGGCACTTGAGCATTCTTACAACACTGATGGGCGGATGTCGTCGCACCCTGGGGATTTTCCGAGGCTTAGCTTTGTCAGCTTGTCGAGAACAACAGCACGAGTTATTTATATTTCGTGTAACTCTGCAGCATCGGGTGACGTTCAGGGCTGTTCATGCAGTTGCTATGCGTACTTTCCTGATGGAATGTTGAGCCGTGTGGCAAATGTGGTGCTCAACACTTCGGCGATCTCCTGTCCGGAGATGTTTTTTCCGTTCTGACCTTTTATGACGCACGCTCCTTGGCTTGTCAATTTTCTCTCTGCTACGAATCGGCATAGGTTTTTGGGGTTTACCCGAAGTATCTTGGTGAGGTTGGAATGAGAGACCTCCTGTCTGCCCTCAGGCCGATGTTGCTACGATTCCGTAGGTCCATGCATCCGTCATAGTCGTCCTGTTCTCTGGAGAGTCTCCATGTGTGCCATGCCCTTCTCTTGGCTTTTAGAAGGCTTTCGGTGCCCCGCCTTAGCCACGAGGTTCGTTCACTGCTTGTCGTTACCACCAAGGGGACGTCGACAGGGAAGAGCATTCTAGGGTTATGCGAGTGTTACAGAGTGGGATCTGTGCCCGGTATCTAACCTGCCATGTTCCAGGCTCAGTTTCTGCATGTGTCCTCTGAGAATAGTGCTCCAATAAACGATGGAGTGGGTGTCTAGGGGTGCCCAGAATGTTGTGAGTCACTATTAAGTCTCCTGTTACTCTTCCATATTCCAGGGGACGCGAATCCGGAGCATGCGGTCGTTCTTCGTATGTTGTAGCCACAGGTTTTCGAACAGATTTGATCGAGGGCCTCTGGATGTATTCTCAGCTTCATTTGTCCCACAGCAGAGAACAGTAAAAAAGCACAGTCGCAAACCGCAGCTGCTGAATACTTTGTGAAAACATCTATTGTCGGATTTTCACAAAATTCATCTTAAGGCCATTAACGCCAAGTTACCGCGGAATGTGTTTCTGTCTCGTTTGGTATAAGGTTTTAAGTCTTGATGGGCTTGAGCACCAAAATCCTTCTACATCATCAACGCTTCCAGTTCCATCCCACAGAGGCCCTAATATCCAGTTTCTTTAGACACAGAAAAATTCACTATAACTAAATAAATGACCTGGTGAATATGGGGACAATCAGTCGGTGAGCAATGGTCTTATGCTGACCAATCTAAAGTTATCAATAGGGCAGTCATGATTGATACGATCAAGTGCCTTGGCAAACCCTAGATGGATAACGTCGATTCGATCTCGGCGATTGACAGTGCTGGTCCATCCATCTAATGCAGCGAGCAGATCGGCAGTGTAGGAGTACCCCCTTCTAAATGCATGCCTTTGGGACGCAAAAAAAATCTATATTTATGGGGTGGCTTCTTAGCCTATCATAGATTGACGATTCCACTACTTTGGAGGGTATGGATTAGAGAGTCACCAGTTCGTATTTCCTTGGGTTGCTTCCTTGACCACCTCCGAAGACTGGAGTTGTGTGGCCAAACTTCCAAGGATTGTGTACTTTCCCCCGACTTACAGAATCCTCAAGTAACTTACTTGGGAGTTCACACAAGATTGGCACCCCTTCCCGCAGCGCCGCCACATGGATTTCATCTGGTCCCGGAGAGGTGTCCTTCATGAGCAGTAGCAGTTTGCGATGACGATCCAATATCTTCTTAAGTGCTAGCACAAGCCAATTAATTTATTTTCGCTCACCTTTAGGTCTTACTGAACGATATCAGGTCTTTGATGGATTCTCACTCGGTATGTCTACCCACCAGCTTGCTGTGGCTCCGGCTAACCCCAGGTGAACATAAGGTGTTGATTGGGTTTGCAGGGATTGTACGATTTGTCCAAAGACTGTGATGCGGTTGGTGGGCTCGATGGGATCCATTTCAAGAATTTTCCTGGAGCAAAGTTGACACACGCAAAGGCGGACCACTGATCGTTCGAACTTGCTATATACCCACGAACACGAGACCAAGAAAGAACACGACAGCGTGGTAGGATGGAATGGTATATTTGGGAGGTCTGGCCAAGATACCCATGCGTTCCGACTAACTGGCTTGGGAGTCGGTTGCGAGCAGTGCAACGTAGCACGACAGCGTGCCAAATGGTCAGGACGCTTGACCTGGTGCCTTTAGCTTAGCGAGTCCAGTTAAACTATGGGGGTCAGCATCAACGTTGAACCTCGTCAAGCCCTAGGCAATCGATTTTGGAGAGGCCTGTGGCGCTACATATGGTTCGCTCTCTCTTCCTATTCTTCTTGGAGAGCACGATACGTTTGGTTCGACGCACTGACTGCTGTACTTCAGACACTATGATTAGCACAGTAGGGTAGAGTCGGCATTGTCTGGGATATTCTTACTTTCCAGAATCCAATTCGCTTCAAACTTAACGTCCAAAATACAGTATCAGGGTGCGAGAAGAAGAGCTTTTAGATTTTTAGCTCTCACATCTGCATTTTCGGTATCCATTCCTTTCGTTTGGCTATGCTCTCCTAGTGGTCTCAGGTGCTTCTTCCATCTACTACTCAAAGCTTTGGATATAGTCACTATCTGAATGTTTTCTTTTGCAAACGGTAAGCTGGCTTGCATTATATGGTAATGGAGATGGTGAATTAAACATGAATAATTTCCGCATTCACAGGCATCTGTTAGTGAATACCGTGGGTTATTCAGAAAGTAATGCAAGAGATAGCACAATTAGAGAATAACAGAAAACGGGTGAAAGTATTTGCGGAAAAATAAATGTTGCCGGTGACAATATCGAAAGGTCATAGTTTGCTGCGTGGATACTAGGGTTGGGGAACAGGCAGAGACATGACTATACCATCAATTGATGCGAGTTGAGTTGTCCAACGTATCGTGCACATGTTTTGCCTGGTAGCCGGACACCTGATTTTGCCGCATTCCTCTGCGCTTTCCTGAGACTGTCTGCATAGCTGTTTAGAAGGGGATGGAGTACCGTGGCAAACGGCCCTGAGGATAGTTTAATATAAGTCTCAA